TTTTTTTTTTTTTTTTTTTTGCAATTTTTCCGTGTTTATCGTGCGACATATACGGGTATCCGCGAAAAAAATTTCGTTAACGAACGAGTCTTTTTAAAATTTTGCTTCTCGCACGAGAATTCGATGATGGCAAGGAATTTTTAATTTGAACGAGAATATTTCCTTTAACGAGGAAGAGAATTCCGATTTTCTATTCGCGTGGAATATTGTTGTTGGTAAGTATGCCACGTGGCAGAAACGTGGTAAACTTTGCGAAAACACGATACTGGAATCCTTTGCTATTGACCTCTGATCAGTTTGAGGATTAGAATTTTGAGAGATTAGAGGTAAATTGGTCGACAGATGATGGGTTTGATTTCTGGGTCGTGAAATTTCTTTCGAATTATTTTTAATACAAAAGATTTGATTGCAAAGAAAGATTTAAATTGAAAAGATTTATTCAAAATTCAAAATTCATTCAAAAATAAAGTTATTGTAACTAAAAAAAAAATTATTTTTTTAGGTTACATTTTATTTGAAAATATTAAAGTATAGTAAGAGATAATTTAATTTTAGATTATGAATATACATTAAATATATTGCATTCTCATTTCGAAGTCATTTCTCATTTTGAAAATTAATTTTTTAAAAAACTTAGACAACATTTTATGATATATTCAAATTAATAATATCAATAAAATATCAAACCATACGATAAGATAGATTGTAAATTAATCGAAATATCAGGAAACAACTCTGCGAAGCTATTCTCTTAGACAAGACTCTTCCTCTTGTAGAAGTCTTATTTTCTGAAGAAATGTTAGTCCGAGGAAACGAAAACAAATGTGAAAACGCCACCCTAGTTTCATTCCACGAACGATGTCTTGAATCTCTTCTGCAAAAATGAAGATGGAGGATAGTAAGAGTAGAAATGGTGTTTCGAGTATGAAAGAGGGAGATGTGGTTCTAAGTAATGCAGAAGGAATGAAGAAAATAAATGAAAGTACTGGCAAAAAAAATAACATTCTGCTGGAATGCGAGAAGAGAGTAGTAAATAAAAAACAATAAATTTAATAAAACAGAAAAAGAATCATAAAAGGGAAATAATCTTTTAAAGTAAGAAGGAAAAGTAATAAACAAGAAGGAGCAAGTTGTAAAATTTAAATTTTAAATTAAAGAAACCGAAAAAAATTACAAAGAAATAAACACAAATAACACGATAAGCAAGAAGCAGATTATAAAAATTAAAACGATTAATGTTAAATAACGATTTAAACGATATCTACAATGGAGAAAAAAACTAAACAATAAGAAACCAAGAAAATTAATAAGATGAAGGGAGAATAAACCGAAGATAAAGTTGAAATGGAGTTGTGGCTGGTGAACAACAGTAGAGCGAAATAATGAACGTGAAATAATGCAAATTGGGGTAAAAGTGAGGATAAAATAAAAACGGGTGAATGTTTGCCAGAGAATGGAAAACGTGTGACAGAGATGGGATATTAAGAAGAAGAAAAATGGACAGATTAAACGAGCTGTGAAGATCATATATATATATAAAAATACGAAGAAGAAAAATTAAGGAAGGGTGGTAAAAGGTTATTGCAGGGACGAGATAGGATACAGGCAGGACCTCGAGTACAATCTGTAAAGCTGTTTCACATTCAGGGCCGTTTTACATTCGCTTTGGAATTCGCGATTGCGAGATTCCACGACGATGTAAAGGCTCGGCCGGAAGCTGAGCGTGTACCGGATGAAAGCGGCGGTGATCTATAGGACGCAAAGATACAAATGCGAAGAAGACACTGACAGCGAATCTTTCTTGACGCGAAGAACTTCCGCCGCCATGCAAACAGGAAATATTCATCTGATATAATAAACGGTCTAGACGTGATATCATCTGCTTTTACATGGCCATCTTATATTCGCGTATCCTCGATGGATTCGCTTCGTTTTCCGTCTGCCGTTGAGAAAATTTTTTATTAAAAATTAGAAAAAAGGAAAAAGAGCTTCTCCTTTTTTTCTTTTTTTTTGTTTTTTAATTTTTGAACGCTATCATGTCTCCACGTCTGATAAATTTTGCGGCGATATCGTGTCACTTGCGTGCCACTTGAGCACGTAGATTCAGGGATCGTGCGACTTAGGGGCGGGTGTAAGTAGATTTAGGGACCACAACCCTAGAAATGTATGAGCAAGGGATATTTAGATTTAAGACCTTTACAGTAGAAATTCTGCGAGTAGAAACAGCATTCTTGAAATTGTCGAACAAATTTTAGCATTCGTTTGAAATTGAATAAAATTATCGTTGAAAGCAGATATATCGTTCAATTGATCTATCTACATAAAATTTAGGATATTACAAAATCTAATAGCATGTTACAACATTAGATGATAATGAAAAAAAATTCAAATCAAGTTCTTCCAGTAGTGATAATAAATCTTTTCTATTGTCGACTTAATATCTTAATATCTTTTAAATAATGGTGAATTTCTTTTAAAAGACAATGGAATGAGAAAATTCTTGGATAATTCTATATCTTCTGTCTAATGTAGAACTTAATTTATCAAAAGGAAATGAAATGTTTCATATATATTTTTACATATTTTGTGATATCCATTTTCTTTTTGTTTTACGATTTAGAGAATAAATAAGATATCATTGCACTAAATATTAAATTGTATAAATTACATAAATAGAAAAATTATTCTATTCTGTTATTTATTATATAATATTTAATTTTTAACTTATGTTTTTTAAAAAAAACTTATTTATTAATATTAAATTCAATAAATTTTAATTATCTAAAACTGATACATCGTCGATTATATCGTTGAGTATACACTTCTCCTCATACGCGCATTCGTCGCCGATTCAAGATAATCCCAAACAAACAATTTGTTAATTGCACTACAACCAACCAGGAATTCTCAGTTGGCCGGGCTGCGTTTTGAAACGTTCGCCATGAACAGAGCTTGTTAGCAGTAAACAACAATAATAATCTCGCTGATAACCCCATTATATAGCCATGGCTGATAGGCCAGAGATTCACGGATCACAGGTAGCCAGGTAATTAAATCAGGAGCCAATCAGCCGTTGGTTCATTCGATTAATGAGCATCGACGCAGGACCGGGTTCGTTTGTCGCTATTCGTGCTGACAATTTATTTCGCTTCCAGAACTCGCGATAACGCCACCGATCACATCCTTGATAAACGACAGGATCCATCGTAAAGAATGAGTAACACAGAATTTTCGAG